CACAAACAATGTTTGATGTGAGTGAGAACTTTGAGTGAAGAAAAGCTTAGTATTGCATTGTCATCAACCACGTTTTCAGAATGTCATTTTAGATTTCCAGTGAGTTTTTATGCCAACTCTCTTGTTTAATTCTTATCTGCTAAATTCCAGTCAGCCAACGCAGCAACTCAGAATAACTGGTGAGGTTCGGGGAAGAATAATGAACAATGTAAATGCGAATATGCCGCTTGATAAAATTTTATTGTCCTGTGTGTCACCTCTCTTTGAGAAGTTTCTGTCTGGAAGTTAAAAGGAGAAAGAGGAAGTAAAGCAGATGTAGAATTGCCTTGGGTGAATGTAATCTTTACTTCCATTCTTGTTCATTGAAGTCTTGTCAGTTGCTTGTTTTGGATGTCGATAATTTTTCTTCTCTGATCATGACTTACTTCATCTTGTAGTGCTGCACAACTATCCCAATGTATACAGCAAGGTGAGAATTTTCCACATTTGGGGAAAATTACCTAGAATTACATGAATGGTGACTTTCTGTGCTACAAACCCAATCACATCCATGTTGCTTTTTCATTTGTTCATGGGATGTGGTTACTGCTGGCTCAGCTAACATTTATTGCCCATTCCTACTTGCTGTGCAGAAGATGGTGGTGAGCTGCTGCCTTGAACTGCTGCAGTACGTAGGGTGTGGAGATATCCACTGCACTTTTGAGAAGGGAGTTCCACATTTTGCCCCATTTTATTGGTGAAGGAATAGCAATATGGTTCCAAGCCAGGATGATGTGTGTCTTCAATTCTTGAGTAGGAGTTGCGGGGTGGGAGTGGGGCAAGGGAGGAATTGTACCTGAGCGAAGCTGATGAAATTGAAGGCTTCTCCAAAACCAAGCAACCCCATCCATTCACAGGCTTGTTTTTCTGCAGCAGACAGACCTCAGCCATGTTCACCCATGCCCACAAACAAAGGGCACAAGGATTCAGAGTTTTGGCATTGGTCAGAAATAAGGCTAAGCTTTGTGGCAGCTCCTGCTGCAGTGGGGGTTGTAACCCCCCAAGTATGAGGCCATGACCCACAGCTTAGGAAGCCCTGATCCATTCCCTTCTCCCTTTTTCTTTGTGTACTTTCCTTGAATGCATCCAATAGTCATTCAACTACTACTAGCTGTAGTAATGAATTCCGTACTCTTGCCACTCATTTCCTTAGATAAGGACGTTTCTTCTGAGTTCCCTGTTCAATTTGACAGTGACTATTTTCTGTTGACGACCTCTAGATAAGCTCATCGCCCAAGAGAAAATATTCTTTTCATATCTGCTCTCCAAAAGCCTTTCATAATCTTTTAAGGACCTCTATTAATTCCCTGCTTAGCTTTTTAATTTTGGGTGGGTCCATTTCACTGTAAAACCTATGGTAAACCTGCTTAAGAAACCAGTTTAAAAAAAAACGTCTAAGTAAGAATCAAAGCCATTAATTATTTCTGCAGTGATAAACTTCTAGGATCTTAGTCATTTTGTGATAGTGACATATGCTCGTGTAAAATTGCAAAAGTGTAAATTTTATTGTGCTTGTGTTCAATTGATTAGATTTAGCCTTTAAAATTATGCAGGATGAAGTTTTATGGAAATGTAACATTCAACATTGTACTAAATTTGTGTCCACATAAGCAGTCCTTTCGTTGAAACTAATATTCTGGATTTAGCTTTAATGTTGTTCATGTTCCATACAATTAAAGCAAAGCTGGAGTTTCCAAATTTCTCTTGTTTATTCTCATAGCTGTGAACTTTTGATGCTCAAAACTGAATTTCCAGTCTGGATTTGGGGAACTAGAAACTGAATCGTTTTCAGGTCCAGAGCTTGTGTCATGTCAGTCAGCAATTAGGACTCTGTAACCAGTTTAAATAGCACAACTCCTGCTTACTGTACAATAAAACAATGGAGTAGCTGGGATCTCCAAGTTTAGGGCTGACGGGTATCCTGGGCAGCACTATGATTTTCATACATCTCTGTTGCAGATTGAATGGATGAAGTGTCGAACAGGGCACGTTCCTTGCATTTGTCGGAATAAAATGTACCAACAAAAGCTGAAGAGGCGTGATGGGTGTGGGAATAGAAAGCAACAGCCAGTTGATTATAGGTCTAGTGTGCAAAGCAATTCAATCAACTGGTGAGGTCTGGAAGGATGAGTGGCAGATGACCCACAGATTACAGGTCCCCAATTTCATATTGACCAGCACGTCCATGAGCTGAGCAGACTGGATGCTCATGCTGAACGTCATCAGATCAAGTGGTTGGTGATATCACAGAGACACCCTAACAAATAGGGTGTGATTAATTGGAGCGGTATTGAAAAATGTAACATCTTATTTGGATGTTGTGCTGGAAAGGTTAGGGAAGGCAGCTTACTTTCAATCTTTCTCCCTTTCTCCTGAAGACAATGCATTCTGCAGGTTGTGATCAGCTGCAAACCGGCAGAAAAATCTTGATGGAGCAGAGCAACACTGGAGATTTGTGAAGGTGCCACCACACCAAATTGTGGGTGCTGGAGTGACAAGAAATTGTCAAGAATACGGTCTTTTGATAACTCAATCGATGTGGTTCTGAGTCACTGGGAATAGGTAGCCTGAGTAATCACAACCGTCATCTTGTATTTCCCCACAAGGCCACAACAGAAGGGGAAGAAAGATGTACCATCAATGTGATTTTCCCCACTTGGGAAGTGGGCAGAGATTCCACAATGACCACTGTCACATCAATCCTCTACATCTTCCACCAGGGCAGGAGCACTCCCTTTGATTGGGCCTCAATGTAGCTTAGAATGGGAGCACTGTTTGAGTTCTTCATAAGTAAATAGCAGGGGAGTAAGGCAAAGTGAGCTGTGGTCAGTTTCTTTTGAAAGACAGACCCAATCATGCTTTATTGGGCAGAGATGCTAGGCCTTGAATGTTAGAGACCAGAAGTGTCTGTCCAAAAAATCAGAGGATGATATGTTCTCGAATGTCAGGGATCCTTGATTTATTGCTGAGCCATGGGCAGATTACAGAAGAATGTGTTGTTGTAACTTAGCAGTTTGAAAGCAAGAGCTCCTCCGTGGCAACCTCTGGAGAACCATTCAGAGCACCACTGAGTGGGCTGGAGAGCAAGCACACTGATGAATACTGGTAGATGAGATCCTCTGTCACACTGATGCTCATCTTTCGTATGACCCATGAAGTCTTGGAGTAGATGTCAGCTGTCTTCTAGCTGGTGGCCTTTAGCATGCAAGAGGGTTGTACAAGGTCCAAGGCAGTTATACAGGCTGACGATGGGGCTCCTTGAGAGTTTCCAGCACTGTTCTCTAACTCCCAGCCCCTCTGCCTGGGGACCTTTCCATGTTGCAAGGCCCTTGTCCTGTATCAGGAACTGCTGCTTCAAAGACAGAGACATACCTTTATTAGAAAGTTAGAATCCACTCGCACTTCCACGACTAGGAAGCACCCTGTAGAAGTAAATAATCAGGAGCCAGGCTACCTGGGCCTGTTAATCTCCAACATCCCAAAAACCAGAAGTTCTGTATCAATGGCCTGAGTTTTGCTGGAAGGTCATAGACCTGAAAAGTTCACTTTCTCTCTCCATAGATGCAGCTGAGTCTTTCCAGACCTCTGCATTTTTAATCTTAGATTTACAACTTCTTCAACAGTTTCTTTGAGTTTATTGATTTTGTTTCATTTCTCTGATTTACTTTTAATTAAGTAACCATCTTAGTGTTTTGATGTTTTTTTTAACTGAAAGGCTATCTTTAATTTGTTGACCTCTCTCTGAGGTCCGGTCAGATTTTATTATTCTTCTCATCCTCCTCACTCCATCCAAGGGTAGGAGAGAGAGAGTACCTTTGCTGAATGTGTTATTTTATATTAAAAAAATTGATATGAAAAAATAGTGTGAGACATTAGTTAAAATTAATCAAGGAAATACATGCTGGAAGGCATCATTTTAATTGTGTTTGACAGAATATTTCGATATTGACTTTTGAATATTTGGAGTGATAAATGTTTGGATGACATGGAACAACATTTTGCAATGTTCAAAATGCAGCTGGACTCTAAGTTAGATGTGTTTTGAGAAGGAAAGTTTGAGTGGATGGCCTTCTCCTCTTCTGAACACTTTTCTTGTTATATTTCCTGGTAGCAGTCCTTTCTGTTTCTCAATGTGTGCAAACGTACTTGACTTCACTCTTGTCACCTCCTAAAGTTGCTCCAGAAGATCGGTCAGGAAATTTGCATGTGGAGTATTATAGACAGAAAACTGTAGGGAAGCATTCCAGGATCTCAACACTTTAACTTCATTAATAATTTAACGCAGGCTTGCGTTGCTTCGAAGTGCTGTTTTGTTTTGGACTGATTTCTATTGCTATGAACTAACATGAGATGTCTTGTACAATTGTTGGTCCATGCAATGAATTCAATATTGACTGTGAGCTTTGAGCAATTCCAATTTCAATGGCATTGACTTTTCTGGGTTTGCAGAATCAAGGCTACACTTAAAATAAGTCAAAGTGAGATAATGGATTCCCAGAATTTTGTGTCCTGGAATAAAATGGACTGGAGAAACAGTTTTGATTTTTAGCACAACAGGGAATGGGGTGAAGAGTGCGTTTAAAACATACTTGGAGTTTAGGAACAAATTAGAAGGGAAAGTTAGGAGGTGGGTTATGAAAACTGTTGCCTGGTTCTGACATTTCTGAAGTGTTGCAGCTGTTTGCAGGATTCTGGAATGCAAATTGAATGCCTTATTTTACTGTCTAATCCATTTTGTTGCTTGGCTTATGTTTATCAGCCTCACGTGAGCTTAATGTTTCATTGTGGTGCAATAAGTTCGACCATGTGAGTAGGTGCTAAAATGTTTCCACACATTGGACAAACCTGAGTCTGTTCAGTGCTATTTGGTTCTGTTGATTTTAGGAGTACAGGTGAATATCAATGTTCTCGTCAACCAAATGGGAGACATGGAAATAATTCTGTTCTTCCTTACCATTTAGACCAAATACTCAAATGTCCAGGCAACAGACAGACCAAAGGCCGCAAAGTATGATCAGCGAGACCTCAACAGCAGTAACTGTATCCACGGTGGATGCTGCTCCAGGCTCAAGGGTGAGTTTGAGCTGTTCTTCCCATACATTTCATTTTGTACGTAAAACTAATTGTAAGTTGGCCCTTCTGTAATTTTCAGTAACATTAATAATTTTTGTACCAAGCAGTTCAATTAACAGCATTGCAATATCTATGCAATAATCCTTACTGGAGCTGAACAATGTGAATGGCAATTTAGATCAGCTATGATGTTCACTCCTCTGACATGAACTTTCTGAAAATATTTGGGGTATTGGTTTTGTTATTTTCTTCTCTGTAAGGGACCGGCTTCAAGTATTTATACAACACCAGTAACCCGCTGTCCTAATTTCTGAAAAACCTTATCAACCATCTCGTAAGAGCAGCATCTGTATAATGTGCATGCAGCCATAGCGCTAACATATGAAGGCTGAGTTATGGACCAGACCAAATCCCCTGCAAACATATCAAAGAGCCTAGACCCTAACTTTTATCTTATTTAAAGGCAAGTGTAAGGTGCTGTGTTCTACATGTAATTCGATTGGTCACACTACTCAGCTTTAGCAAAACCCATTTTTTTCTTACCCCTTGTTAAAAAACAAACAAAAGAAAGAAGAATTGGTCTAACATTCACTCTATTGGAAAACTTTATGGAAGACGAGATTATTTAACAACTAAACAGCAACTGTTCCAATATAGTAACATCTCAAAAACCCATCCTTGGCAAAGGTAAATTCAGAAAAATCGATTGTCACACATGAAATGTTACTCCAGTCCAGGAGGAAAGACCATAAAGAGAAAATTTTCTGAAAATTGAAAGAGTGAACTTGAGCTTTTTGCTATAGCAGGGAGAGATATATGTAGCTTCAAAATCCAAACAACTGCTGAAAGCTAAACTGAAACCCTGGTTTTGTGGGACCCTGGCTCCACACATTCATGCTGCGTCGATTGTTACAACTTGGGGGGAAAAAAGGCCTCTCATACTATTTATTTTATCAGCTTTGAATAGACAGCTCACCAGCAATGGCTCAAAACCTCATTTTGGGGAGGGGGAGTGAAAAAGGACAAAATACACCTCTTAAAGCCATAGTATCATCATAGCTTTAAAAAAAAGAGTTGTAATAGCTGAATAGAAATCTGACCTTATGGACTCTGATATAGATTTCCTATGGATGGATGACACCAATTGTTGCATTAGTTAATGGTTCTGAAGAGATTAATGTTATATTCTGCTGATGTCATCATGTCCACATTTAGATCAGCTTCCTAAAGTCCATATTATTATAATGTCTCATAATCAGCATGTCAGATTGTCTTTAAGAGATGCTCATGGTATCATCACTCCATTGTAGCATGTAGTGTAAAGGTGTAAAAGACTCTTGCTTAATCTTGTCTCCGATCGGTTGAAACTCAATGTGATACTGAAAGAATGCTTCTGTATAGCATAATAGCTTAATATTAGCCCTGACACTTTTGTACCTGAGGAATGTAATGTTTGCAAATTATAGTCATTAGGAAGAAATCTCAGTTGGATTCTTCAATGCTGTGATATCCATGCCCAGTTTATTATTCTGCGTTATGTGTGCTTTAAAGAAACATTGCATCATAAGACAATGCCTATGCTCAAAATGCTTCAACTTTTCATTTAGAAGGTGTCCATACAAAGTACCAATGCTTGAGTGTCAAATTCTAATTTACTGAAGCAAGATTCTTGTCTTAAGTTGCAAAGTATCTGGTCTGCCAATTCATTGGAAGAATCCCAAGACCTCATGACATTCAGGGCACTTTTTGGGCAGCACTTTTTTCTTGTGGTTACCATTTGGATTATCAGTTAACAAAAATATGTTCTGACAATGCATAAAGAAGATTATTCCACATGTACCTTGTATTTGTATAACTGATGCCATTGCGTTCTAGGGTAAGACAAATGCAGAACATGACAACCTTTTTTACCTGCTGATGATAGCAGCATGATAAGAAGGATTAATATTTAAAAGTACAAATGCTGGGTCAGTCTCAGCCAGATAACCTCCTTTGGGTCCATTTACACTACCCATGTAGTCTGTCACAATTCAGGTAAGATGTTAAACAACTGCTGACAGGATAAAGAGGATCCGTGATGTAACACCAGACTATTCCGTTTCCTCAGGCCATTTGCTGAAGAGGAAAGTCTTGAATGTGTTGTGAAGCGATCACTAATAATTCTTAGATTCTTCGAATGTCCAGAGTGTTGCTTACTGTGTAATACTACGACCCCAAGAAAAATGCAGTTCTCAAATGGGTACATTGTTGGTTTGAAAAATCTGCCATCTACACAAGCCAACTATTCCAATATAGAATGCGTGATGTTACCTCTGGTGTTTGGCATCCTGCAAAACATCACTATTGAAAAAGATCATAAACCATGAGAAATGAAATGCACCAAATGGATGATGAGTGCACCATCACGTTTGTAGCATCAATTTGTCAAGGTTCAGGGAAATGATTTTAATATGAGATACAAGTCAAGTATCACAGTGATTGATTATGGTCTAGTTCACTGAGCAGATTACCTAATCAACACAAAGACCAAGATGTTGCCCTTGATCCACACGTTGATGCTCTACATGACAATTTTGAAGATATTCTTGAGGTTGATCTATTATGCTTTGGCAGTAATTTACATTGGTTCTAGCCATTGGTAACTACCCAAAAATGAGCCACTACAAAAGTTGAAAAGATCATCATCTAGCATTGGCCTGATATTAAAAAAAGTGCCTAAGAAGGTTTGTTTATTTTGGCCATGCAGAGACAAACATGGTATATCACCATGAGTCATTTCTCAATGTCGATTAAGTCCTCATACCAAAAGTCGTTCGTCAAGATGTCATGACTGTGTTACACCAGGGTCACGTGTTAGACCTCAGCTGGATTGCTGTGTACGATTTTTGGCACCACTCTTTTTAAGAAGGATGTGAGCACGTTTAGAGAGAGTGCAGAATTGGTTTACAGGAATGGTTCCAGGGATGAGAAACTTTATTCATGAATATGGATTGGTGATGTTGGGTCTGGTTTCCTTGGAGATGCGAAAGGAAAGGAGAGATTTGATCAATATTTTTAAAAGTATGAGGTGACTGGGCAGTGTAGATGGAGAAAAACTGTTCCCTCTGATAAAAGGATCAAGAACAAGAGGGCACAGACATAAGGTCATTTAAAAAAAAGATGATGAGAAGAAATGTTTTTGGACAGGGTGTAGCCTGAGTCTGGAACACACTGCCTTGAAGTGTCATTGAAGCACATTCAAGAGAGCATTAGATACATCTTTAAATAGAACTAATACATTGTGGGGAAAAGGCACTATGTCAATGCACTGTCAGAAATGTGGCACAAACATGATGGGCTAAATTGCTTCGCACAGTGTAACAGTTCACCAGTTCTGTGGGCCACGTGCATATAGAATGCGCAAGATAGCTAACATGAGAGCTTGCATATTGGTAAGGGATGCATTAGGATATTCAATGTGAGGCAAAAAAAAGCAAAGGTTTTTGCATTGCGTTGCTGGGTTAATGTTAATGGAGAAGAGCTTACCAATCTAGCATGACTAGCGCTTAGAAGGCAAACATGAATGGCCTTGTCCAGCAACTAATTGTCAAACCATTTCAAGGTCAAACGTTTTTGTTCAGAGTTGTTGGGAATTGAAAGAGGTATGCTATAACAGGTACAGAATGACGAAGTTAACACAAAGGATGCAAATTAGAAGTACAAATGCTTGGATACCAACAAAGGTTTCTAAAATATGCAGCCAGTCCAATCATAGTATTACTGATAGTTGTGCTACATTACAAAAGAACACGAGCCAGCTCAGAACAAAATAGGGCACACTAATCTTGAACTGAAAGTTACAAAGGACACTCCATTGTGTGATGATGATGACAGCAAAATGATCACTTTGTCAAACCAATGCAACTGAAAATAATGCCTACTTCTCCACATGGGTATGACAGCACTAGATCAGGACAAATCTCAAATCCTTCAATGTGTTATATCGAAGTCTGAAATCTTATTCCATAAACTGTTTGCCAGTTTGTATAATTATCGAATTGAGGACCCGTGCTTACTTACGATGTTTTATTTTGTCACTTTTTCGTCATTCATGAGATGTTTGTTTTTCTTGCTTGGCCAGCATTTATTGCCATCCCCAGTTACCCAAAGGGCAGTTGAGGGTCATCCTCATTACTGTGGGGCTACAGTCACAGTAAGCCTGACCAGATAAAGAAGGCAGATGTCCTTCCCTAAAAGGCACTAGTGAACCAGATGGGATTTTGGGTTTTACAAGAACAAATGGTTCTATGTTTACCATTTAGCTCCTTTTTAATTCCATTTCATACTCTCTCTTCGTTGAATTCAAATCTCACTATCCGCTATGGCAGTATTTGAACCAGCGTCCCTGGAAGATCAGCCTTGGGGCTGTGGATTATGAGTCCAGTTGCCTCCTCACCACCACCTCCTTAATGAAGTTTTTAATCATTGAATAAAGGGGGTGTTGTGTAATATGTCACAGTCAGTACAGCAGTATGCCTTTAAGAGACATGCTCATGATATCGTAACTGTAGCATATCATGTGGCTGGAATCAACTCCAACTCCATCTTATCTCTATTTGAAGCATGCTTCTCTGTTGTAATGTAATAGCTTACCATAAGCCCAAACCTGTGTGTGCCTGAGGAATGTAAAGTTTGTACATAATGGTTATAATTAATGTCTGTTAGATTCGTCAACATAATATTCACACCCAGCTTCTTAAGGTATGGGAGATGATTTAAACATTGTTGCATCGGGTAAAACGCCCCATCCAAGGTAACTCATGTTAGTCCAAATGCATTGCTATCGTGCAATGCAGTTCTTGATATCTAAGAACTGTGCATATTCTGGGGGTATGCTCCACAGTCTACCACTAATCACAAAATAGCTGATGTCAAAGGAGGATTAGTGGCAGTGAATTATTTGAAGCAACCCTTATCCAATACCACACACCGGTAGAGAAAGTGAACACTTAAAAAGTAGC